CGTTGGAATCAGGAGATCGAGCAGTACCTGCGTGCTTTCACAAGCCACAGGCAGGATGATTGGGCGAAGCAGTTGCCGCTCGCGGAGTTCGCATTGAACAACCGAGTTCATTCCACGACCAGGCACTCCCCTTTCTTCCTGCATCAGGGGTACCATCCTGAGATCCAAGTGCGGATCAATCTGATGTCCACGATGCCCGCTGCCGCCGACCGGCTTAAGATTCTGAAGGAGATTCGCGATGATACGCGCTCTGCACTCAAGCTGTCAGCCGAGCGCATGAAGGTGTACTACGACAAGCACGTGCAGGAGGCACCGGTCTTCATGCCGGGGGACAAGGTCTGGCTTGACGCTCGGAACCTTAAGCTGAAACAGCCGAGCAAGAAGCTCAGTCCCAAGCGCCTCGGACCATATGCCGTGCAGCGAAAGCTTGGAGACTTGGATTATGAATTAGTCCTGCCGAAGTCGGTGCCGGTGCATCCGGTATTCCATGTCTCCTTGCTCAGCAAGTACACGCGTAGCGATATTCCGGGCCAGGAGCCGGAGGAGCCGCCTGCAATTGAGGTTGAGGGCGACGAGGAGTACGAGGTTGAGCGGATCAAGGATTCGCAGATCTTCCGGCGTCAGCTGCAGTACCTCGTCAAGTGGAAGGGTTATGACGACTCGCACACGTCATGGGAACCGGCGCGCAACGTTGCCAATGCGCCGGCCCTCATAGCTGACTTCCACCGGAAGTGTCACGACTTGAGGTCAAGCGACAGGGGAAGATCTGAAAGCTGGGGGCGTCCGACTAAATTTCACCGAAGCGATGGTGAGCAGCGCTCAAACCTAAGGCTAGGGACAAGTAAATTAGTATTGAATAAGTAAGTAAGTACAGGGGCTTACTGACCTAGGGACAAGAGGTCGAAACTGAGGTCCCTAGGGCAGCAGAGGCCGGTTTATATACATGGGGAGATTAGGGCAGGCTGTGCGCGTTGGTCCGTGCGCAGCTGGTCCATGCACAGCATGCTGACGTGGCCCCGGGGGCCGGTGAGTCAGAGCGGCTGTGTCAGCGGAGCCCGAGCTGTGCCGTGCACTGCCGTCCTATCTAATCTGATCATACAGTAGATAGCGACGCGTCCATATCGGGCATGTAGTACAGAGGTCGCGGGTCCGAGCCCGCGAAAAGGAAAAAATTAAAAAATGGCTAGACGCCGTGTCAACTCGTGACAGAAAGAATCCGAATGCCCCTCGTCGCCTCAATGCCGCAGTCTTTGGTGGTCTCAACTTTCAGCCAATGCCTTTGCCGCTGACTGAAGCACGCTGCCGCTCCGGGTGGGAGATGGGCAAAGGCATCTCGCATGAGGTCATGCACCATTGAGGGGGGGGGTAATGTCACGAGTTGGTACGGCGTCTAGCCATTTTTTAATTTTTTCCTTTTTGCAGGCTCGAACCCGCGACCTCTGTACTACATGCCTGATATGGACGCGTTGCTATCTACTGTATGATCAGATTAGATAGGACGGCAGTGCACGGCACAGCTCGGGCTCCGCTGACACAGCCGCTCTGACTCACCGGCCCCCGGGGCCGCGTCGGCATGCTGTGCACGGACCAGCTGCACACGGACCAACGCGCACAGCCTGCCCTTATCTCCCCATGTATATAAGCCGGCCTCTGCTGCCCTAGGGACCTCAGTTTCGACCTCTTGTCCCTAGGTCAGTAAGCTCCCATGTATCCTTACTTACCCTTTACTAACTAATACATTTCTTGTCCTTAGCCTTAGGTTTGAGCGTCGCTCACCATCGCTTCGGTGAGAATCAGTCAAACGCCCCCAGCTCCTTTTAGGTTTTCCCCTGTCGCTAGACCTCAAGTCGCAACATTACGTCAAAACTCCACAAAGCTGCCGGCGTTCCTCGGAACCCCACACACTCACTTTCCTTTCCCATAGGTTGGGTGGTGCGCACCCCTACTGTACCCTACGATACGTAGATAGCCTACTATACATCGCCAACACTAGAGAGACGAACTCTTCAGTACCTGCGCTTCAGTGAGCGGTACTTGTCCTCACGGATGCGTAGCCTTGGTTCCTGCTGCATAATAGTCAAAAGCAGTATTGGGCCCTACGTGAACTGCGAATCTCAGTGTCATCTCGGGCGCTGTAGGTGTAAGCTAGTATAGCACGGCCTTTCGTAGTATGCGCACCTCCCCTTCCTCCCCCCATCCAATGTGGCTGCCTGCCAAGGCCAGATCCACGCATTCAACTCTCAGGATCTCATCGACGTCTACATCCCAGACGGCCCTGAGACTATCCTCTACCATTGCGAGCAGCAGCCGTGCCCAAATCGGACACCCCAATCGATCGAGGAAGATTACCCTCGTTACAAGGCGATCCGACGAGCGCAACATCCGCTCGGACCCCGAAGCACCCTCGCATCTCGATCGGCCTCGCGGCACTCTCGCCCTGTCTCCCCTAGCTCCCGCCTCCCTCAAACTGTCGTCGATCCAGGTCAAGCGCGAGGAGATCTCCCTCCAGACCCTGTGCCAGAGCCTGAGCCTGAGGAGGGTGAGGGTGAAGAAGGAGTCTTGGAGTCCGAGTCCACGGATTCTACTCGGTCCGCTGATACGACCTACGAAACCCTAACCCCTAACCTGGGTGCGACCTAAAGGGACTAGAGAGACGGATTATAGTCTAAAGAGAGGGGAGTTAGCAGCAAGGTGTCCCGCGGTTCGAGTGAACACGAGAAACGCCTTCGGAAAAGGCTACGAACGCTAGGGAAGGTACAAGATGGCTTCGACACGTCGTCGAAGCTACTCGGAGGCTGTGGGTGGTTAGCGGAGACGATCAAAGCTCGGGAGAGCTCTTCGACGTATCGTAGAAGGAAGGGACACGACTCGAAGGGGGGGACTTAGCTAGGACGCAGTTCGCAGTTTCTTCGACAACCGTCGAAGTCGAAGGGTTCGTCGAGACGGTATCGACGAGTACACGCAGTGGACGAGGTTTCGAGGTTACGCAGCGAGAGACGAAGTGACACAGTTTAAAGGCTTAGACACGGGGCGAACTCGACTTATGAGCTCTGAACTCGAGGGGGGAACCGGATCTTGTGTTTTTGGGGAGAAGTATGACAGATTTTATACTACACAGGACGCTATGACTATTCGAGAGTGGCACACTGGTACAAGGGGCTTTGCATTGTTCCTCAAGAAGCTGCCTCACTGAGGGGCACATACCAAGTCCATCGGTAGAGTGACGTCATGCCAAACGCAGAGATGAAGAGAAACATGCAAGACACTTCGGACTGGTGTCCATCGTTGAAGGCATGTCGCGAGGTTTGATACCTAATCGGGAAAGACCGGCTACGTCGGTGTGGCTTGGAG